AGCTTTCAACCACAGTAGAGCTTTCAACCACAGTAGAGCTTTCAACCACAATAGAGCTTTCAACTACACTAGAGCTTTCAACCACAGTAGAGCTTTCAACTACAGTAGAGCTTTCAACTACTGTAGAGCTTTCAACCACAGTAGAGCTTTCAACTACAGTAGAGCTTTCAACCACAATAGAGCTTTCAACCACAGTAGAGCTTTCAACCACAGTAGAGCTTTCAACTACAGTAGAGTTTTCAACCATAGTTCTCTGGTTTACATATTGATGTGCTAACTATATCGTAGAGACGTAACTTACGTCTTCAAAATGACGTAAAATGTGAAGCACAGTAAGTTTTAATGTATATGGATAATAGATGGAAATTGAATAATAGAAAATAGAAATATATTATACACATTTATATCCTTTGGAGAAAAATGGAAACAATCTGACAACTGGATGTCTAGATGGAATAACCAAAGGTTGAACGATTATTTCCAATAAGGATGGCAGTGTAGTTGAAATTAATGATGTTTAGATGATCTTTTCATCTAATACGACATCTTCCTGCAATTCATTGATGCTTACAATTCAACGTAGGATGTGAACGTTAAAAACTACCTGCTGGTATAATTTGTACAGAAAATTATCTATGTATTAGAGCAGTGGTTCTCATGCGGTGGCTGTCATATATATATATATGTTAAAGTTCAACATGGTTGTAGTTTTCTCTCTCTTGCTGCTTTAAGACATAATTAACCTTAAGAGTTTCCATGGAAACATCTCATGGATAAGTTCCAATGAATGAATTCGAAATCATATCAAAGAAATGATAGTTAAAACGAAGTGCATATCTTTGATGTTGCTGAAAAGAACAGGTAAAATTGGAATTAAAAACTATTTGACAAAAGTTACGAACTTATTTTTGGTTCAGTATTCGTTTCAAAATGACAATAATCGTGTTGAACTTTGATATTTGTATAGATATGGTTATGTAGTGTATATCGTAGAATAAATAAATGTAATTATTTTTGGTGATTATTAAACACTTCAACTTCAAATATGACAACGTTGGTAATAACACAAGTGGTTATGTAGTGTATATCGTAGAATAAATAAATGTAATTATTTTTGGTGATTATTAAACACTTCAACTTCAAATATGACAACGTTGGTAATAACACAAGTTATCAACAGTGTATTTAAAACTGAAATTAACCAATTTATTTAACTGTTTCTTTACCTACCCAAGTACTCTTAAGCCTCATCCCCATTATATTTTTCGCATACCCAAGTATTCTTTCATATATGTATATATATTTATATACACCGCTGAAATTTGGTAGTTTTATTAATAATATCGTTGTCCAGTACAAGTGAAAAGTCTTCAAACTTTCATATATACTTAGAATGAATTTTGCATGTTTTATAATTAGTTTAAATACGCAAGAATATGCAAAAAAGAATTTCAGGCAGATCCTTCATACTGCTAATAACAAATGTGACAAAACAAATAATCCATGCACTGACTTCATAGCTTACAAACTTAGTTTCATAGATATGTCATCTATAAATTTAGTTTTATTTGAAACTAGATGTCTATTTGAACATACTCCGTGTGGTATATAAAATATAATTTCCCCAAAAGGGGGCCGAAGACCGCCTGGAGGAAGGTCTCCTATTTTAATCACTCGCACCGCTATATATATATATATTGTCTGTCAGTCGGTCAGTATACATTAAAATGATGTCACATAAGGGACGCTTAACGTTGTAGTTTGTACTGTCTTGACGTCAGCGCAACGTGCACATGCCATGAATCACGAGAAGAATTGTGCACTCTGTAGGCTACAACACAGCATAACATATGAACTTCAAAAGCAAGAAAGAAAAATATTTGTTACTTTTAATTTGGGTTTTATTTAGTCTTGAAACAGAACACTTTCGGGAACCATGTTGAAGTACATCTAGTTAATATAAATAAAATAGTATTCCAAATTTATCATTTAGTCTCGGTATGTGGTTTTCTTGTAACACGTGGTCAAGAAAGTTGGTTTTGTTCAAGTTTCCTTTGTTCACTCGTCATTCTCTTGAGATTACACTTATTCTCCCCATGTCATGCTGTATATTGTTAGGGTTACCATATGCCTCAATAAAACTGGGATTGCCCTAGTTTTAACTTTTTATGTCTAGATCAGAAACACTAAAACTATTAAGTTTTCCCAGTTTCTCTGTACTTCAACGTGAGTTTTATATGTTTATATATGTACGGTTTGTTCTTATACGTAGCGACTTTATATTTTACTTGGAAAATCGCCTGACAAAGAAATATTACACAGTACAGTGTTCCCTTTCCTCCACTAAGTTTTCTTAACCTAACCTGTCATTGTGCAGCCACAGGAATTGAGATTTGAATACCTGAACAGCTGCGAAAAAACACACGAAGGAGCAGCTTTTTTTCCCGAGAAGTTTCAAAACAAATTAGGCGCGTTTTCAATTTCATTTATTATTTGGTAACTATATAAGTGTTTAGCAAATTTTGTTTGTCTGTAGTTTTAGAAAGCGATGCAAATAAACATCAAATTATTTAGCAAGTGTTAAAAAATGTGTTATTGTAATTTAAACTGTTTCAGAGATGTTGCAGCGTCACTCCGTATAGAAAAAAAAAGTCTCAGTTTTTCACTCTGGAAATCTGGTAACCATACACATTGTAAAGGGCGTAAATCACCGTTTTCTCCAATGGTAGGTAAGGTGATACCTCGAGGTTATAATTTCCACTATTTTATACAGGAGGTACACACATATTGAGAATATAACATTATATAGTTTGATGTATAATACTACGATCTCTCAAGGTGAAGCCCTCACTTTGGTAAGAAAGGTTTAATTTATTTCTGTAGATAGTAATACTCTCCAAAAGTTTAAATTGTGACTTTAATCAACACCGGATTCTATGTGTCGTCTCGGCCTTTGACCTTAACTAGTTCTCAATAAACTTATTTATGAGTTGTTAGGAGAGTATAGAGAGTTAGTTATCCAATAAAGGTGCTATCCTTCGTCCTATAAACTTCATTAACTTTGTTTTTGAGATTAAATAAGACTGTTTTTAGTGTGTGTTTTACGTTATGTCTAGTCTGTTTCTTTTTCAAATTCAGTCAAAGTAAAAAAACACAGAATTACTTTGTAATAAATATCTCGAATAATACTCTGTTACTCTATGGCCCTATCCTGTCGCTCCAAAGGAAGTCAGTTACACCTGAATGTACCGCATATTTTATCACGTTACCACCGTTATTGTAATATTGCAAAAACAACAACAACCATTTTTCTAAATAAAACGAATACTAAAAAATATTAATATGGAAAATATCATTGGATGTAGAGGAAGCAACCAAACAATTCCATTGGCTAAAAACATAAGGTAAAATACTGGTAAGTTTATTTCGTCAAACAATATTGCAATGTGTTAATTATTGTAGCAGTTACTATTGTTAGTAACTTGCACGTTGTATTCTTGTCATTTGCACTGGAAATAACAGAGTAATATGGATCACATATTATAACATAATCTACTTGGCTATATAAAACATTAAATAACAACGTGTTATAAATCCTTACCCTAAAAGTCTGATTTGTAAATGAGTTAAATAAAATTGATAATAATTACAAGTATACTTACTTAATCTAGTTGGCACCATAACAGTCGTTGTTCATGAAAGTTGATGATATTAATAACCATTACTGTGTCTGCCACGTCCTCATCGGACTGGCGAGTTCTGGTATTGAACGAAAGGCCTCGTCGGCACTGGATATGGCAGAAGTAGTGTGGGTGACATATTACAGCATATTCTACTCCGAGTATATATATGTATTATTTCGGTTTTTCAGCAACACATCAACCACGTTCTTAAAACAAAGAGCGTCCATCTTCTAAATTTCTGGAATATCTGCTGAAAAACAAGAGCTGTTTTCCTGGACTAATAATGCCTGTTTAATTTTCTCATCTTCCAACTGGTAGACTGGTTTTAGAAACAACTATCAAAGCCTTCCTTTTGCTTAAGAATAATATTGAAAACGTTCATTGGGTTTCACAATAATATTGTTACATACTGAAAACGTTCATTGGGGTTTCAGAATGATATTGTTACATATTGAAAACGTTCATTACGGTTTCAGAATAATATTGCTACATTCTGAAAACGTTCATTAGGGTTTCAGAATAATATTGCTACATACTGAAAACGTTCATGGGGTTTCAGAATGATATTGTTACGTACTGGAAACGTTCATTGGGGTTTCAGAATAATATTGCTATATACTGGAAACGTTCATTAGGGGTTCAGAATAATATTGATACATACTGTAAACGTTCATTGGTGTTTCAGAACAATATTGTTACGTACTGAAAACGTTCATTGATGTTTCAGAATAATATTGCTACATACTGAAACCGTTCATGGGGGTTTCACAATAATATTGTTACGTACTGAAAACGTTCATTGGGGTTTCAGAATAATATTGTTACATATTGAAAACGTTCATTAGGGTTTCAGAATAATATTGCTACATTCTGAAAACGTTCATTAGGGTTTCAGAATAATATTGCTACATACTGAAAACGTTCATGGGGGTTTGAGAATAATATTGCTACATACTGTAAACGTTCATTGGTGTTTCAGAATAATATTGCTACATACTGAAAACGTTCATGGGGGTTTGAGAATAATATTGCTACGTAATGTAAACGTTCATTGGTGTTTCAGAATAATATTGCTATATATTGAAAACGTTCATGGGGTTTGAGAATAATATTGCTACATACTGAAAACGTTCATGGGGT